AACAAACTCTATATTTAGACTGAGTTTATTTTACCTTTGCATCACATTGTATATGATTTCGAAAAAAATCAAATTAAAAGATTAGCTTATGCACGAGCTAGAAACCTAGTACTAGTCTTAAAATCTTATAAACACCAATGAAGGTTAGGGTATTTTTGGTATATAAAATGTGTTGGTGTAACACAAAGCAATATATTGGTGTACAATGTGATCCGATAATTGTACTATAGACTTTGACTCCTACACTTCCGTTACCTCCGTTAATGTTCGAACATTCAGCCTCTCGGATTTTGCTGTCTCTTCATTGCACTTTGTTCCTTCTCTTCACTTTATTATACTCCGTATTTAGTTTATTCTTTTCCATTTAATAATTACACATCATTTGGAGTTTTATATTCAATCTATTTGGTGCATCGATTGAAACGGTTGTACTAAAGATCAATTTTCTCTCATTTTCCTAGGTGAGGTAAAGAAAAAGTAAAAATAAAAAGATTTCTTTTATTATTATTATTATTATTATTATTATTATTATTATTATTATTATTATTATTACTTTTAATAATAATAATAATGGAGTTTTATGGATGGCATGTCCGACTTTTAATAATTTGTGCATGAAAAGAGCTAATGTCAATGGTGGTGATAAGGGGCGGAGCCAGAGCATTGGGCTGGACTGAACCAGTACAAAGATTAGTTTTCGGAAAAAGTAAACAGAATTGTTTACCTTAAAAATTAAAGCATTTTTTAAAATTAGAGTGAGACAAATCTCTCTCTAGGGTGGGTTTCCACTGCTAGAGTTTTTTCCTCCGTTATTGTTTGTAACGAGGAGCGGCTGCTGCAGGCGGACTTAGGCGTACACCGTTTCTACTTCCGCCTTCAATTGCGCGACTATTTTAATTTTCTTCTTTTGCTTTGGCGAGATTACGCGGAGAGGAGAGGATGCTTGATTGCTTGATCTCCAACGGCCGAAGGTTATGCAGGGACGGAAGACAGATGCTTGGTCTCCGGCGGTCATATGTCATGGACGAAGCGTGTGGCTAGAGGTCAGAACAGATATGGATTCGAGGTTATCTATGTTAGGTACCTTGTTAGGCAAGGTAAGTAAGAAGTTACAGTACAATTGGATCCCCCCCCCTCCTGAAGCGCCGCCATAAAGTGCATGAGAGTCTAGGGTTTGGAAAGAACTTTTTAGTTTTACTGTTTGCTTGTAATTTATTTTTTATGATCAGACTTATTTTTCTATTGGTTACTTTTATTGTTGTAAGCATTAGAATTGGGTGATGTGAGACCTGCTTTGACCGGCGTTGGCTCATTTATGCCAATTAACATAATATTGAACACTCCAATTAACAAACAACAAAAATTACAAATACTTCATAACTAATTTTAAATTTTTTGAAAAATCCGAAAGAACTAAGGACATGACATATTGAATCCGATAGAATTAGTACAAATTAATGGGGCCTCAACTGTGTAGATTGGGGGCACTACCTATTTTATTTAGGTGATAACTCTGATACCAATTTAAAAAATGGAGTATCATGGCTTTCATTTACTTGATTCGTCTAAATCATTATATCATTTCTAATTTAGATTTAAATAATTCAACCGTATCATCTTGATTGGCCCATGTGGACATTTTTAATTTAAATTTAAATGATTCAATTGGATCATCTTGATTGATCCATGTGGACAAAGGTATGGTACCTTAAGGGTACCATAGAATGTAACTTTTATTATATATATGTGTATATACTTGCATTAAACATTTGAAGTTCATTGGGGCATGCGCACCCATTAATTACTTCAAACGCCTGCCCCTTCTCATAAATAATGATTTTGAGAACTACATTAAAATTAATTGACTGAATTAAACTATTTCAGCCAATTTTGAGCTGTTTAATTTGAGAGTAAGACTGTACATTAAGACAATTACAACTTAATTTATCTTTAAAGTCTTATAAAGCTGAATGAGGATTGTTATTGTTTTGATATAATAAGTATCTTGGTACACTAGAGTTAGATATTATTATACTTTGTGTTTCTAAGAAATCACTGTTCCCTTTATTATATACTCCGTAATTTTCTTGTATTTGTCTTCTATGATTATATTGTTAGCCTTTCACTCATCTTCACTATGTACAAAAGAAGTCCTATAATAGGTTGGATGTGAGTGGAAAATTGAAGTTGTGTGAGCTAGACTTTAGAATATAATATGGCCTTTTTGGATCCACAGTTCTATTGCATTCAATGTGCACGTTAAATATTATTGGGCATTATTCCACACGCGCAACGCGCGTTGTAAAACTAGTATATAATAAAATGGGAGGTCACAAATGATATACGGAGTACTCCGTACAGTGTAAACCCACATGTGTCATGTGTGTGTCTAAGGCAGTGGCGGATTTACTATGGGGGCAGTGGGGGCAGCTGCCCCCTCTCAACCCCCACCCAAACCCTATCTATATATATATATATATATATATATATATATATATATATATTTAACATAAAATAATATTTATATTTATATGCGTAATAGAGTATTATATACAGTAATTACGCTAAGTGTTCCAAAGGTTACGTTGGTTTAAAGGGAGAGCCTATTTTGGGCGGATTTATTCATTCCGAGGTCGGGTGTTAGACCCCCAGATTTAACAATTTTTTTTCTTCTTTTGCTTTTTATCATCTTTCTCTCATATTCTCCTTTTAAAGATTAAAGTGCACTATACGTTTCTCATACTTCCTTTATTCTTTTTTTAATTATAACAATCCACTTTATAAGTTTATCGATGTACAAGTTCTATCATTAAAAAATTTTAAAAATTCAGTTTTTGATAATCTTAAGTGAGAGAAATTAAAATATTTTTCAAAATTTGAATTTGTACTATATTAATAACAATATATAGTCAAAATAGAATATATGTGAATAAGGCAAAATCATCAACTTTGCAACCAAAAGAGAATTAAGGTAGTATAATTTATAAAGTTTTGCAATTACTTTTTTGCATTAAATATAAACAGATTTTTAGATATAGTTGTGCATTCGAATTTACAATAATACTAAATATATACAATATTCATCCATTATTCAGCTCATCTAATTTATTTCTAAATATTGTTAAGTATGTTTCATGTTTTTTGTTGAACAAATATTTTATTTTTTATAACTAACTTCAGAAAAAAAAATTGTATTCAACTGTTTGACATGACATAATCGAGAAAATATGTGATGTAAATCTGCCCCGCTCACAACAATTCCTGGATACGCCACAACAATTCCTGGATACGCCACTGATCTAAGGGTTATTGTTTTCAAAGGTTTTTCATTTTCACATTAACATGCGGAAAGGTCAATATGCGCCACGACAACTAAGGGTTATAGTCTTAGTGCATGTTTTGTTTTTAGTTTTTTTTATTGTAGCATTTCAAATTGAGAAAGATCAATATGCGCCATGATAAAAACGCGTCTACAGTTTGGCAAAACTTTAGAGATGCAGTCAGAGTTTGGCATTGGTCAAATTTGATGTAGACTCTGTTTCCAAACACAATTTGGAAGTTCTTTTAACTTTTTTAAATGATTTGGTAAAAATGTGATTAATAGTAAAAGTTGGTAGTGTTTGAGAAAAAAATGATTTCTAAAAGTAAAAGTTGGTGGTGATTGGTAAAATAAGTGCTTTTTGTGTAACAGAAAAAGTAAAAAGCAGATTCTAGCTTTTAGCTTTTAAGTAATTCATTTAAGTAGAAATTGTCATTTGAAAACATCTTTTTTAATTTTTTTAAACCAAAAGTTGGGAAATGCTTTTTTAGATGTGTTTGCAAACAGAGCTGTATTGGTCCAATTTTCATCCCACCAATGCGTGGTTGAGTATAATTCAACGAGCTTCATAGTCCAGATCTGCCCATTCTGCCCGTACTTAATAATTCACGCAGTACGAACACCCTTAAATTATCTTTCAAAATTTGTTTTTGGTTTCTCTCAAAGTGTTACAATAATATTTTATTTTCCATTTTAACAAAAAAAATACTTCTATATGGTTCACAATATTGTTTAAACATTCTTACACATTTGTATTTGGATCATAATTTTTCTTTGGACTATAGTTTCATGTTCGGGTCGAAAGTGGTTTGATTTGGTTCGATAGATATTTGGTATATCTGTAATTTATAACTATTGAAGTCTGATCTGCTCTATTCTGTTTGAATCTGGTCTGGTCGGATTTGTTTAAGTCTGACCTTTTTTGGTTTAGCCTGGGACTGAAACCAGATCAAATAAAAATATTTTAATTCCACATACATTTAAAATTTTGTTGAAAATGTATATATAATCTTGAACAATATTTTTCTTTTCCATACTTATTACGGAGTATGCACTATTCTTATTTTTATTATTACTCCGTATATTGAAGGCCATATTGAACTTTACACCTTATTTTTAGAATCATTAGTGTATGGATCAAAGTAGGAATTCCGTCATCCTAAAATCAAATGATTTCATGATATACTAGTTGCGCATATTAATGAATATAAAAATGGAGTGTAAAGTTTGTGTAGAGGATACAAGTTGTTTTAACCACATATATATGATTTTAATGGAAATAAAAAAATTGAAACAACTAAAAAGGAACATCTGACTAAGTTTTATAGATGGAGTGAGTATCTCCTATAATTATATTACAATTATAACTTCATTTAAGCTTTCAACCCTTAGCTTCTAACAAATCATTCCAGATTGTGTGCATCTTTTAGGCAGAAGTATCAAGAGTTTTCCAAACTATGACTCATATACTTCTTTTTTTGTAATATGAAAGCATATGACAACATTTTATTTTTGCCTTTGGTTTTTGTAATTGGAAGCGAAGGATTAGAGAAATACTCCTTCGTTTGGCAAGGAAATTGACTAGTGACGAATATTGTAGAAGAAGTCAAATTTGATGTCTATGGGTCCATCTATTACCAGCAACGAAGACAAATTGAAAGACTCCAAGTCTCCACAGTCCGGTCTGCCCACCCTGCCCTGACATTTCTCGACTTCCAAACGCTTATACTCCGTACTATATTTATAAATTAAATACGCGCAGATCCGCAGTTGAGAGATTGAGAAAAGAAAGAGGCATAGGTTATAACTTATAAGTGGAGTGATTAATAATTAAGATGAAGGTGGTTTCGTTCATAATAGTCATCAACATCTTCTTGGTTCATGGTTTGGCACTCGACGACGGGAAGAAGAAGAATATGAAGATGAGCTATGGTGGCGACGAAGAGGCGGCGGCGGCGGAAGGTTTGAATCCATTGAATTATGAAGAATCATTAAGAGCAGGCGGAGTACGGTTACCATCTCCCATGCCCAACCCCTCACGCCACCAAATTCCTTTTCCGCCCCCGCCTCCCTCTCCGCCTCCACGTGTCACGGCAGAAAGTCATGTCCTCTTTCAAATGAATGGTGAATTTCATAAAATCTCATATCCAGTTTTATTATATGAGTCCGGCTTGGGGTGCCCCAATTTGTACCCCAATCTGTACACCGTCTGTGTACATAGACATTTGGACAGAAAGTCATGCCCTCTTTCAAACGAATGGCCTGTGTACACAGACAATTTAGGGGGTGAGTACAAAATGGGTACATTTTGGGGTACCTATAGAATTTTTGTTATCATATTACTCCTTCCGTATTTATAAGTTCACTACAATAGCATTCGGCACATTATTTAAGAATAAAATAGTACGTGTAATGAATAGCGTAGAAAAAGTATGAGAGTGTACGTAAAAGTATGAAAAGGAAGATAAAAAGTAGAAAAAGTAAGGGTAGTTGTGTATTTTTAAAGGAAAAACTTACCAAAACGGAAAAATGTAGCAAACTTTTAAATACATTCCAAAAAGGAAAGTGTACAAACTTTAAAATACAGAGGGAATAGAAGAATAGAACAACCCAAAATCCCGTGTATGCCAATGGCTATTTATTTAGTGTGCCAATGGCTTTTTCCCAGTTCAATGAATTTTTTATTTATATCATATTATATTTGATGAACTTTTTGTTGAGTATTATTTGATGTCTCCTTATTTCAACTATTTTGTAAGGAAAAACAAACAAAACTATGTTTCAAGTTAGATTAACTAGGACATTGTCCCTTTTCTGTTTGCTATATGAGTATTAGTAGTACTCCGTACTAAATTAGGATACCATGATGATCAATAAAGTACGTAGTATAAGGCCAAGGAAATAATTAGTTATTGGGCATAAGATTTGATAGTGGTTATAGTCTTATAGATATGTCAGAAGCTTAAATGGATTTCTTGAATTGTGGATATGGTGGATATAACACTAGATGGGCTTTGTTCTTGCTGTATCACCTCTTCCTTTTGGAGGAATATTGTGACAGGAGAGTATGCAAAGCAGTGTCTCGAGTTAGCCGTGGAGTTGGGTCTCACTTCAATAGATTTATGGTCCAAAATGCAGGAAACCATGGGTTGGCAGAAGATATTCTTAATCTGACCTCAAAAGAAGCAGACAAAACCATGGGAACACCAAGAAGTAGACGAAAGTAGTCAGCTGCTATGGATGATTTAGCTTCTCCAGATGACAATGCTGACATGTAGAATAGTGTTTTCAACTACACTGAAAAGCTATATAATGGAGCCTCTAAAAAAGAGTTACTGATAATGGAGCTAACAATTTATTTTCTTTCTTCTTTTACATTGGATATAACTATGAAAACAGAATGATGTAACTCTGTTTATGTCGTTTACTGACCAGAATCATGAGTTCTTAGAATGTAAACAGAATGATTCATATCTTATTCTAAACTAAAACGTTGGCTTGAAAATATGTTGGTTTGTATCTTTAAGTTCGTTATTTCGATGTGAGATGATTCATCCTTAGCAATCCCTGAAATGCTAATAAAACTTGAAGTGCATTTCACATGATTACTCTGAAGTCTGAACAAAAAGTATTTGTATATGATACAAGTATGATTAATATTCATGCTCAATTTGCCATAGTCCATACTCCATAGATTGAAGAAGAGAAGCATATGCTAACTTTTTTACCCCATGCGATGGGGATTTAAAGGGACTATTTGGAGCAAAAGCAACAATTATACCAAAAGCATTCAGAATGCACATGGTATCTCACATTCATACCATTTATTCTGCTTCATTAAGAGGCTCAAACTCCACATGCAGTTTATTGTTTTACGGAGTATGTTTTATCAATGTCGTACAAACACTTCACTAAATAGAGTATACTTTAATTGTTTAGTTATTAATGTGGCACAAACACTTTAATATGTGTAGTTTTTGCGTTTTTTTTATCTATCTTGGATTAGTAGGTTTTTCTATTGGGACAAGCTAATATACTAAGTAGAATTATCTGTGAACAAAATATGAAATGTCCGTCCACAGACAATAGTCATTGAAATAGGTTAATATGCTAAGTAGAATTCTACCCAACAGACAATATTTGTCTATTCCAGACATTTCATGTCTGGACCTGACACAAGAGTGTTGACTAACTGACCATATTTGTCTGTCACAGACAATTCATGTCTAGGTTTGAAAAAAAGTTTTGTCTAACAGACATTATTTGTATGTGCCAGACATTTCGTTAATGTATCTAGGCTTGGCAAAAGCTTTCTGCCTAACAGACAATATTGTTGAAGACACCAAAACAAAACAATAATCATTCAACCTAATTCTACTCGAACAGGGAGTGAAGTTTGATCAATTACAAAGTCAATTGTTGAGTGACTTGTTCAAAAAAGTTTCAAATACAACTAAATAGCTAGGTATATTTGTATAACAAGCACCTATTAAACTACAAAAGATGGTACAAAAGCACTTGAAAGTCATTTCAGTACTCCTTTGATCTTCTTGAGGCTTGTTCACAATTTCTTAGACTCCCCATCCAGCGCCAATATTAGATCATTTATTGTAGGAGTGACTTGAGCTGCCACAAAATCAGAAAAGAATCCTCACTATATGAGCTATGAAGCACGGATACTTTGCTAGGGTAGCGTATCGGCGTATCCGATATGTTCCCGTATCCGATACTCTAGGATACCCGTACCGTACGTTCCCGGGCTGTATCTGCAATTTTTAAAAGTTTCCATTTTTTTTTTGTAATTTTTTGAAAGTTTCCGATACTCGTATCCTGACAGATACCCGTATCAACTTTTAAAAAAAACCCAAAATTTACTTAATAAAATTCTAAAAAAATGAAAATCTAAAACTACATTTTACTTGGTAATCAAATAATGGGCCTATATGGCTATATCCGAATTAAGTCATTAACTCATACTCCGAATTGGATACTTGCACTTTTAATTTCAAGATTGTAGTTGTTTGACTTATTTCTCATTTTAAATTAATGACTTATTGACTATATTTATATTTCGAGATGACTAGTGTATATGAGAAATATTATGAATTTATTACTAAGTATCTTGAAAAAGGAAAATGCTTCAAAGCAATGAATAGGTAGACGTCATAGGATATTATATGTATGTATGTGTGTATATATATATATATATATATATTAAAAAAATCTATTTTTAATATTTATAAATAGACCCCTATAACTTTTAGTATTTGTAAATACACCCCCATAACTTTTAATATTTATAAATATGGCCCCGTATCCGTATCCTACCTTTTTTGGTTTTGACGTATCCTCGTACCCGTTTCCGCGTTTCCGCGTACCGGTATCGGTGCTACATAGTATATGAGTTATGAGCTTAGATGCTTGTGAAATAAAACAAAAACTTAACAGTTGGGACATCCGCACATCAACAAAGCAGGTTGCAGTTTCAAAGTTAAATAGTTTGTAAAATTCATCTCCTGCATTTCCATGGTTGACAAACTTAGAAGTACACGTATAGAATAATTATAACTCCAAGAAGCTTCAAAATAAAAGAAGAGAGTTCCAAACATAGAAAATTCAAGGATTAATATCTCAATAATAACACATAAAATTCATAATAGCGAAACAAAACAAACAAATTAACAAATTAGGAGAATGAACCGAAAATTCATGGATATGAATAAAAAATCATTGAATCATTTCAATAAACATCTTATAAGCATTAAAGTGAAATAGAATAATTGAACTAAAATTATAATAATAAATCTTACAAATCTTTAACAATATCACAATATAATGAAGTATTCAACATTATAACATATACTTCGTATTATACATAAAATTGGTGAAACAAAAAAAAAGTAATTGTAAATGCACAAAAATATAAATTACTACCTCATAAATAATGGTTGTTCCTGATTTTTGTGCCAATTGAAATTCGAAATTGACTATCTTTATTGTTGTTGTGTGCTTCAATTCGAGCCGCAACAGTGTTGTTCATGTTGGAGTTGTCTTCAAGTTGCTATAGAGAATACAGAGTTGGGGGGTTGGGGATTTGGGCGAAGTAGGGTTCTAGGAAGGTGAGAGATAGAAAAGGGGCACAAACAAGAAAAGAAGTGGGAAAGGTGAGTCAACTAGGGTGCAGGCAAAAATGGCCGCAGAAAACTAGGGTTCTATGGAGATTGAAAATTCTTGGAATAGAGAGGAACGAAGAAGGGGGCTACGGGAAAAGAAAAGCGGGCGAGAGGAAAAGTGGGGAGGGAAAGAGGAAAAGTGGGAAGAGAAATAATAGGCTATTTATGGGGTGTGCGAGAGGTACACAGATTTGTGTACCCCTACCAAAATTCATTTAAGAATAACAGAAATAACTAATTGCGTCATCCAAAAAAAAATAACTAATTGCTATTTGGGTCCTTCACTTCTTGAGTAATTTTGATATTAGACCCCTGATATTCATTGAATTATGAATATGAAGAATCGTTAAGAGCAGGCGGAGTACGGTTACCATCTCTCATGCCCAACCCCTCACGCCGCCAAATTCATTTTCCACCCCCGCCTCTGATTTATCATGTCACGGCGGCGTCAAAGCAACTCTCCCCACCACGCCGTCTACTTCGCGTCTAGTCTTGTTATCAATATATACTTGAGTAAGTGTATTCTTTTGGGAGAATTTGAGTTTGCACTCTCCATGTTTTGGATGATATTTGATTTTGCACTCTATTTTTAAAATCATTAATGTATGTACCCCATTAGTCCAAAAATTGTGTAAGAGTGGGGTGCAAAGTCAAATGATCTTATAGTGAATTGAGGTGCACACATTAATGATTTTGAAAATAGGGTGCAAATTCAAATATCACCCAAAACATAGGGTGCAAAGTCAAATAGTATGCGTCTATCTTAATTAGATGGAAAGCTAATGTGAATTTCATAAAATCGGATTTATCCAGCTTTATTAGAAGAAATAGAACCACCCAGTATACCAAAATACGAGCAAATAATTATTGTCTAGGATTCAAAAATGAAATTCCTATTTGAGTAATTATTATAATATATTTTTTAATGGATAAAACTTATAAAGATATATAAAGAACTCGTAAACCATCCATTAGACAAAGCTCCAATTCGATCAACCGTCTAAGATTAGATATAGGATGGTTCACACTTGAAAATACAATAATTTGACAACTTGAAGTCTATAATCTATATAATCTATAAAAACGCAATAGTGGCAAGCCATTTGGGCGGGAAGTGCAACGGCTCACTGATCAAGTTTATTCTAGAACTTGAATTTCGATTTCCGAAGCATCTCAGTAATTAAAAGGTGCTGGATGAGGCCGTTCCTTTTCCGATTCATGCTTGGGCTTCTCAAGAGACAAGAGTCATCAGCTCAGATGCATCGCCTATATAAATGATCTCTGTAACGCAAATCACAAATAAGCACTGACTTCGTCTTGCAAAAGCAATAGATGGCAGTTTGCAAAGGCTTCAGTCATTGATTTATAGGGGTAGGGCGGCGGAAAATGGAGGAAGGTTTCAGTCGCAATTGGTTTCGTTAGGGCGGCAGAAGGTACCGGTACGTTACCACTGGGGTCTGGGAAAGCGGCGACTCTTTGGTCATACTCATACAGTATATGGGTTTGGAAAGGCAGCGGCCAGCGGCCAATGGACGTTCCGGCCAAGAAGGTTATTCGTCTTCTGAATTCTGATGCTTGGGATGGTGGATGTTTTGTTTTGGTCAGTCTCACAGACGGGGTTTTCGTCGTTCGGGAGGGCCAGGTGGGGGAACGAGTTGAACTTCTCGCGAATTCTTGATTCGAAATTGGATTCAATCCTTGACCACGGTATTGTAATGTTCAATATTAATGTTACTGCGTATTTTATTTTATGGTTATGTGTGAAATCTATATTGTTTATTTTCAGTTTGTACCTTTTTTTAGTCATATCTCTAGATGACACACTTCTGAAATGTACATGTATCAAATCTTCCACAAATTGATATCCAAATTATGCTATTTTTCAGGTCGGGGAAGGGGGTGATGTCTGGAAATGTACGTATGTGGGGTGAAAGATGAAGAAGTCAGAAGAAGAAGCCAGAAGGTAAAGTGAGATGCGGAGGGATAGGGAATGAAGTATATGTGAATGTACAGTCATTTTACATTTTCCGTAATTTGACTTATTGTATTAGTTCATTTGGCCAAATTGAATAAAGTACAGATCAGAGTATATTATTATTCATAATATCATTTTGTTTTCCTTGATTTATAATGCATTAATTTTGATGTAGATTAAGATTTGAAGGTCTATTTATTTAAATGGATCTTTCTATTCCTACATTTTTTAAATGAAAATAATACTACGTAACTATGACAATTTGCGTTTGTTCAAATTTTCTAAACTTAAAATCATCATAAACTAATGAGGTTTCCCAAACAGACACTACCTTGCACTTGGTGAGATTTATAATTTATATTCAAGGAAATATATTTAAGGAAATATTTTTTCATATAACTTTCATACTCAAAATCATTTCTTATTATATTTTATCATTTTTCAAGAAAAGTC